ATTAGGATGAGAAAGTATAGTGGGAAAAGAATATAAGTCAAAGGAAATGCAAATGTTCTTTGAGTCATGACATGGCAGACAACTACAAACAAGTACGGACACATCCCCATTATTAACTGCCTATACATTGTTATGTTCCTCATTTGTTTTATGCTTAACGAACAGAAACTGAGAACAGAGCGGCCAGTTGTTAATCCAGAAACTAGCTATATTAAATTGTTGATGCCGTGTTTGAAAGACGGGATGACAACTTCTATAGTGTAGCCAACATTTTGTCTGTAAAAGGACAAAACACTTTTTCAGAGAATCAATTTAATTTGTAGTGCTAACTGAGATGTCTGAAATCATGATGTAATGCAGTTCCATCTCCTGTTCATATGTTTTTTTCTACTTCTGGGTTTGTCTCTTCATATTAAGAAAGCGACATTCTTCCTCGGTAACTATAACCATTATCTCTCCAACTACCATGAGATACTCCCATATCTTTGTGTGTGTCTTATTTGTTGTGGTCTATGTGGAAATGTCTAATCCCATTTACTTGGACTTTATAGGAGTTAGCGCGGTTTTTGGGGTCCATCGGGGGTCGGTTTCGATGCGCGGTTTTTAGTATCCCTGCGCGTGCGCGGGTGACACTCTCAAAATCACGCGGTGGCGGCTTTCATCCTCCAAGCTTCACCCCCACCCCCACAACCATAAATTAGAACTACGGCGTCCTTTGCACTAGGCATAGCTCGACTCGACTTTTCTCTTTGTTGGATTAGGTGCGAGATTCTTCTCCTTCTCCTTTCTTTTCAGTGTCATATAGCTGTTTTACATTCTTGAATTGGTTTTTATGTTCTGCTCCTATCTCTTTAATATTGGTTCATGCTCATGGATGAGATACCCTGTTTTTCCTTCTACTGTTCGTTTACTGATTCTCCTTTACCCAATGAAATGACGTAAATGGGAAATTCTGGTTTGATATGTCAGGAATTTTCTGAATTTGTTTCAATTCTTTTGTATTCAAAGGGTAATCTCTGTAGGTAGAGTAATCTTGTGGTTTGTGGGTTTGAGTAGAGTACTTTTTCCACGCAATTTAAGATCCAATGCTACTTGATTGCAGCAAATTGATTTCTTTCCACTGCTGTTTTCATTGAAGAGCTGAAATCATGGTGGTGGGAACAGGGAGTAAGGCGTTTCTGGTAGTTTCATTTCTTCCCCTATCATGGCTTGAATCCTGTTTTTCATGCAAACAACACATTTCCTGTTTCTCATGGTCATGTTTGGTTGAGCAAGATTCAAGCTACACCTTTTTTTTCAATAGCCTTTCTTTTTTTTTTACTAAGATTTTCACTCAACTATTTTTTATGTGTGCCTAACCAATTTAAACAATTTAGAAACTGAAAAAAAGGGTGACTCTGAAATGGCCAAGATTGGTCGCCAGGCTAAGAGCAGAACTGAATCGTGCAGGAGAGTGTCTGGAGAAACAGAAAGCAAAGGTGAGACGGAAAGAAATCAAATGTGCTAAAAGGAGAAAGAGGAATGAATTCTTCTGGAAGGAAGATGCATGCATCCGACATGGTATTGATCTTACCCTTGGTATCCTAGATGCAGAAGATGAGGGTGACTTTGTCAGAGCTGATCATCTTAGGCAGTCTAGGAGGTTGGGTTCATTAAAACAAATTCAAGTTCTTATATTTATGCGTTTCATATATTAAGTTTCCTTTTTGGATCAGCAAGTGAGACATAACTTTCTCTTTTTCTTTTGCTAGTGAGTTGGTGGCCAAGCACATGGAAGAAACACAAGATTTCTTGAATGGTGCACTCAACTGAAACTTGGACCAAACAGTCAGCCCTGCATATGTTGTTTCCCTGCCAAGTTTGTGTGTTATGTAATGTAATGGCAATGTTTGACTTCTATGTTCTAATCTCTGTTTCAAGTCAGTTTATGTGGATCATTGTTGTCTATGTTTGCTACTTGCTTTGCAAATAAAGATGGCTGTTTGCTATATGGTTATCTGTGCCTCGTACTGTTATTGCCAAACAAGTAACTGACTTATTTAGAATATCCTCTCCCTTGATAAGGTGAAGCTAGATTGATTCTAAGATGGATGCTGGAAGCATAATTGCTCTATTATTTCTTAAACCATTTACTGCAAATTATTGAATTCACTTCTCTTAATTTCTCGGATATAAGATTAAGTCAACATTTACAAGGTTGGATTGGGCAAATGATGTCCTCTAGGTGTTCTGAAATGAATTCAGTTATCTTCTGATGCTGTACCTGAGGTCAACATATAATGTGGTCCTTTTCTTCTTATTACAATGAATATCAAATACCATCCTACCTTGTTGCCAGTAACATGTCTCTTTTTTACTCCCTTGAAGAACTACTCAATTCACTTGGGTAGTTCTTCCAATGATGTATTGTTATTCTTACATCCCCCCAAAAGTGTATACTATTGCTATACAGCCTTTACATACTATCCATAGGATTCATTCTCTGTTCTGATTGCTTGCCATTGAATATTGTGTTGGCTCCAATGAATTCATTATCATCAGCATAATTTTTTTGGTGGAAGAGTGTGAAAAACTTTTGAGATTGTGATGCAAGCTGTCTAATGAGAAAGGTAACTCAGGCATTAAGAAATGCAAACTTTATAGAGTAGCTATAAACACTAATTTTTTTGATCGACAATGATAATACTTTATTTAAGATGGTACAACTCTAACATGCATTGCAAATACAAAGATCATCAATCTGAAAATATATATGGGATCAGTCCTGCTCTGTACAACCTCTGCACATATTGCAGAACCCACATCCCCACACAAGCATTTGATCAAACACCTGGTACGCATGGCCAAAATAAGCTCCTGTCCCCCATTCTTTATTGCCACCAATCCCCAACATCAAAGAAACATGGCCAGCACTCACATGAATAAAGACTATTGGGACACACAACAGATTATTCACTGCACAAAGCCAGTTGAAGCAACTCAACAATGGTAGTTTCAGTATAACAATATCTGCATCCAATTCCTCATAGCATAAACTCCTCCCTTCAGTTGGTTAAGCATTGACTCCATCTCTTCCATCATCGCTTTTGTCTCTGCCAGATTGTTCTTCATGAGACTTGTCTCTTCTTTTTCTTCCTTTACCTTGGCTTCCATCTTCTTGATAGCGGTGTTTGCAAATAGTGAATCGATAGGCCATCGTCATCAAGATTGTCGGGTCGCGCGCCTCTATTTCTCTCGCCAGACAC